TGATGTCTGACACTGGGAGGAACATGATGCTCTCAGTTTGAGATGGAACTTACCCATTTCTCCCCAGAAGAAAGGGTTGATTCCACCCGTTGTGCAGTTGTACACCAACAAGTTTTTTGGTCTGGAGAAAGAGAAAGAAGTATTATTTCAAGATGTGAAGAAAAGCACCCAAAGGTTCATTAACGGAGCATGAGATTTAAAAGCCCGAGAAACAGTAACATCAGCTCATAAAAAAATGCAGAAGAGGGCATTTTTCATCACAGGATCATAGAGTGATCAGAAGGGAGTTTATAGACCATCTCATTCCAACCCTCTGCCATGGGCAGGGACAACTCCCACTAGACCAGGTTGCTCAGAGCCCCAAAAACTTCTGGCTGTGAGTAGAATTCAAATGTGCTTAGGGAATCCCTAACTGGATTTTGAGTCCAACACCTTCACCCCTCAGCAATCACAGGTGAAGATACAGTGTAAAATATGAAGTTTTGATAAGATTCAGTCAGATTCTGGAAAGCACATGAAGTTAATGAAGACAGATGGAGTTTAAGAAATCCATCTATCATCAACAACGATAAAAATTATAAGGAAAGCATGCACAGTGACAAATTTCTGATTTTTAAAAACTAGTTTTTCTGAGTATATTGTAAATAATAGGCCCAAGCCAATCTGTGTATTTTCCAATAATATACTTGATGCATATGATTTGTGCCACTTTTAAATTCCATTTGTTAGGGTAGAGATTATAAAATCAATGTTTTTCAACAAAATTCTCATTTTCATACCAAGCAAACCTCGGGTTTTGGGGTGTGGAACTAAACACAGATCACACAGGTTTTATTTCTTCCTTCCACATAAGGCAAGAATTAGTCAAACAGTTCTCGTGATCTAAGCCTGCAAGTGATGACACCAATACCTGAAAAATGCATTTGGATACTGCACAATTTTAATGGTGCCTCTCTTAATAATGCTTTGAAATCGTGACATTTGACTGTATCTTAATCATCATCACCAATCCTTATCAGAATGGTTTGGCCTGATGGGCATGCCAAGCTTTGAGTCCGTTTTCCCAACTCCCAGGGAAGGGTCTCTCTCTGTAGGAAGTGGGGCCAGCCTTAGCCTTGCAAACCTCTGCAAGATTCCCCTCTCCTGGCCCCCAGAGACCACACCTTCCCTTCCTCCCCTAGCTATCCCTTCCCCCTGAATGAATAGACATGTCCTCTTAACCTATCCCTCCGAATCCCCTTATCAAAGGCCCCCAGGATTTGATGCCCCCCTGGCAGAATCCACCCCT